GAACATGAAATTACAAGTCCACAAAAACAAATGACAACTTAACTATGTAAAATAAAAAGAACGAACAAATTCAGATTTCTTTTACAGCAACAAGTTTTTTACAACATTCAATGACAAGTTCACATTAACTTGCATCTTCCACTTAATGTCCCTTTATTACCAAACATAGAATTAACAAAAAAATATATGTGCACATCTACTAACACCCTACTTCTAAAAAGATTTAGAAGGGTGAACCCTATATGTGCCAAAAAAATTAGTTGTCCCATTTGTAAGTAGAAGTCAACTTGGGTTAGGATTTTTGTATGTCCTCTTTGTATGTCTAGGATGAAGACATCTAGTGCAATGATATATTTTTATGTTCTGAAATTGTGATTCCTTTCTGTTTCTTCTTGGTCTTCCAGGAGGCCTAGCAGTGATTGTGAGTAAAAGCAAGGTTTGGGCAGTAATATTCTCAAACCTATAGTCATTCAGGGAAGGCATATCAATTGTCATAACTGGAATCATGCTCTGGGAATAGATTTTCTCTTGGGATGAACGTTTGTAACACTCTTCAACATAATCATAAACGTTTTCCCCTATAGTCTTAATAGCTGCATAAACACATGAGCATGGAATCCCTGACATTTGCCAAGTTCTATAGCAGCATTGTTATAGGCCAAGGTCCACTCTTTGGTCTCCACGTGATGTGTGCACGCATATTCTTCTCCCTCCATAATTCTCACAGTGCATGTACCTACTGAAATGCACATGCTCTAACACTTTTGCCTCTATTTTTGACCCAACACAATTACTCCACTTAGTCATTGTCGCATATGATGCATACATCTTTCTTGCTACTTTCTTCCGGTGCTCATGGATCATTTGGGCCACGTTATGCCTCCTCTCCCTCACCATCAAAGCATTAAAAGATTTAACTAAATTAGTTGTTATGTTATCCCGCCTTCTATATGGGAACTTGCTCAATGCCCACCTATCCACATTACCTTGATTGATAGCCCACTAATATAACTCATGAGACATGGTTCTGAGATCATCCGGCGCGTGATCAAACTCATCCGGAAGTCTTGCATAAGCCACTTTACCCAGTACATTCAATGTATCTTTCTTTGAATTTTCATTTGTCCTTCTCTGACCTCTGTTTAATTTCATATATTCAGAGCTAAAGTTCTCCTTCACATGCCTATAACTGTATGCATGCCTTTCACCCCTAAATATTCCTTGCACAGCCCCAATTATGGAATTATGTCTATCTGACACAATAGTCAATTGCATTAACTGACTATTTGTTTAATTTTGTGAAAAAACCACGTCCAATCCTCAAGATTCTCTCCCTTCACCACTGCTATTACAAACGGCAACATCTTATTATCTGCATCATATGCCAAACCTGACAGTAATGTCCCCCTATATGGACTACTTAAATAACTACCATCAACATATAATATAGGCCTTGCACCGTTCAAAAAACCTTCAACACATGCACCGTATGTAATGAACACATACTCAAATCTATTACCAATAGAGGCCCATTCAGCAACTGCTTTGTCATCAGTTTCCTTCACCTTTTCACATAACCATGGTATTAACAGACATGACTGTTCTGGTTTTCCATGTATTTCTTTCATTGCCTTTTTCTTTGCTCTATATGCCTGACAATATGTAAGCCTCACTCCATACTCCCTCTCCAACATCTTCCTTATCTCAGTGGGCCGTTTTTCAACATGGTCCATTATCTCTTCAACTATTACTGATGATGTCAACGTTCTCAGTTGGCCGTTTTTCAACATGTGGAATATATCGGCCCACTCCTACAAACACTCCTACCCATTTCATACAATTTATCTTGCCCATTAGTGTTCCCTGACTCTCTAAACCACTACACTTGCTTCTCTAACTTGATCCACCCCTTCAAAAGTCAGGTATTCAACTCCATTCTCAACATTCACTGGCTCATGTTAATCACCAATAGTCATTTCAAATGTATTCATGTCTTGTGAAAGTCCCAATAAATTCTCACTCCTACCACCATAATACCAAGTTAGGATGGCTATATTCAAATGATAGGTTTGAATAAAATAACATGTCTGCATATCTAAATAACAAGTCCGCATATGGTTATTACAACTTTAGTAACTAAAATAACAAGTCTACATCTACAAACTATTGGTTACTAAAATAACAAGTCTGTATGTGGTAATTACAACTTGAGCTACTCACACAACAAGTCTCCATATAGAAACTGCTGGTTAGCATAACATCTGTAGATCTAAATAACAAGTCCGTATATGATAATTACAACTTTAGTACGCTAAATTACAAGTCTACATATGGAAACCACTACTTATGCCTAATAACAAGTTTGCATTTCTAAAAGACAAGTTTACAAATAGAAATGACATGTACACTACATTGAATAACATGCTTGCATTTACTAATTACAATTTAGGACTACAACACCATTAGCTTGGTTACAACATTTCTATATGAATTAGCAACAATATATTAGCAAATAACAAGATTCAATTGGAAAACATAACCACTTATATGTCTGGATCATTTCTTACTCTAGGTTCCTTGTCATTCCCGTTCCCTCCTATATACACATGAACACTGCTGTCATTATATCTAAATAAGTTGTAGATGTTACCATCATCATAAAGATCAATCAATGTACTCTCATCAAATTTAACTTTATACATAATCTCATATCCACTACCATTATTACCTATCCACTGTGATATTATTTCACACAACTTATTTATTTTTATCCATTCTTTTATACTGGTTACCCTTACACTCCCTCCAATATATTTAACTTACCCCTCACAATTTGCTTCAAAATGTCCACTAACGTGCACGTAATAGAACAACTCCTTCTCACAGCTTCTTCTGTTATTGAAATCCATTTTCCTACTAATTTGCAGCAAAAATTTATGTTTAGTCAGTACATCAGCTTCACTAATAAATATTTACACATTTATTCCATCAACTCAAACATTTACATACCAAATTAAAAACCCGCGACCTCTTGTCTTCCCAACATCACTTTAGGGCTTGACAACTTTAACACCCAAAATCACGGCATCGTCATTCTCTCCTTCCATGGCAACACCTTAACCTTCACAGTCAAATTATCGGCCATTATCCCAGCCACACTCTGTCAAACCACTACACTCCTACCCCTTTCCGATCGCAACCATCACCATGCGCTACAAATGAGAGATGACCATTCACACTACAAAAACAAAAATATCCCACCTCTAACTAACCACAACCTCCTACATTGTGATATTTTTCATCTTCAACTATACCTCCCACTCCCTCCCTTCCTCCAGCCTTCTCACCCACACAGTAGATATGAAGGTGAAGAATATCATAATGTGCAACTCTTACGGGGAAGAATAGAAGAAGAGTTTAGTCAGTAAGTTACTCGCATCATTGCTAATGTTGGAAGAAATTTCATCCCAATATCACACAAACACGTTTGGGTCTTTCTTCTCCAGAAGCTCTCCCGCCACGCATAAAAATCCTTATCTCTGCCTTCATTAAGAGTCTTGATGAGTAAGGGGCATTTCAGCTATTTAACGCACATTTCATAATTGCAAATTAGGGCCGAGTCCTCTGTAGTAATTTTTCAAATTCAGGGTCCCTGGTTGCCATTTTATATATTGGGGTCTTTATTTGCAGTTTTCTCTATAATTTATGAATGAAATAATTTATTTTACTTTTCATAAATTAATTATAATTACCATATGCAATTCCCTTCTCTTTATATTATGAATACAAAAACATTCGTATCTTCATTTTAGTCTCATATCCTACGTATTCCTCACGTTTATACTTTTTTTAGGCACATGTATCCTCTTATTAGAAGTAATCTTGTTCAAGGCATCACGTACTGTGGGTACCTTTTCTAACAAAAATTTGAAATTTGGTTCACCATATTATGAGAGATTAGTTCCTTTTGTTAGACTTAATTCCCATTAAGTGCTTCTAATTCACAAACCACATCAAATTTTTTTTTTGGCTACACATAGTTATCCTCCCATTGAAAACAATCCTATTTGAGGTACTATCAGGCACTAAACGTGGGTATCGCTCCCAATAGAGATTTAAACTTTGGTTTACTATGTTGTGGGAGATTAGTTGGTGTTTCTACTTGTTTTTATTCACAAACTATATCCCATTTTTTTTGCTACATATGTGCATCTTTTTATTAGAGACAATCCTATTTAAGGTTTTGTCAGGTACTAAATGTAAGCATCTCTCCTAATAGAGATTTGAATTTTAGTTCACTATATTGTGGGAGATTAGCCCTTTTTATTAGACTCAATTCTCGTAAGTGTTTCTACTTCTTTTTATTCATAAACTATATTTTTTTTTTTGGGTACACATAAATATCTTTTTATTGGAGATAATCCTATTTGAAGTATTGTGAGGCACTAAATGTAGGCACTTTTCTTATTAAAAATTTAAATATTAATTCTTCACATTATGAGAAACTAATCCCTTTTGCTAGACCTAATCCAGTTGGTAACTATGTCACATTTTATATAACAAATTGACACATAAATTCAGTGTCTGAGCCGATACGATGCAGTTCGACTTAGGGCCCATTAGTATAGTGAGGCCTATATTCTTAGGCCCAATAAAATACAAACCAATAAACTCCTCAGTATGTACAGCCCAACTAATTGGCGTGAATTATTGATGTTGTTTGGAAACTGGGGGTTGTAATGGGAATTCAATTAAATAATTTAATCAGTTGAAAAAAACCTCAAAATTTGAATAAGTTAAATGATAGAAATATAAAGATTCTGCCACAGTTGAAAATTGGTTGGCAATTTCATAGTTTGAACGACCAAGGTGGTGATGGATTTACCCAAATCCGCTATGCGTATGAATCCCAATTCTTCACCAGGCTGTCTCGAGGCATCATAGAAGGTTTTGAGGCAATTCCTGATTACCGGTAGTTGGAATTAGTATTTGCAAAGATAATGAGATCATGTGCAAAGAGGAGATGGAAGATGGGAGGACCCTTGTTGAAGTCTCCAAGCCTCAATAGCAATGCTTTCTTAAACAAGATGAGTGAGATTCTTCATGCAAATAACGAACAAGTATGGAGAAAAGGAATCTCATTGTCTCACACTGCATGATGGATGGAATGTATCAGACTTGCTACTAGTCTAAAGAACTTGCATGGTCGATGATGATAAAAGCATCTCAATTATATTCACAATATTCTCCTATGGGTGTATTTCTTTTAAACGATTTGGCAAGATTGACTATCTAACGTGATCATATGCTGTTCAAGATCTATTTTTATAGTCATCAAGCCTCAGGCTCCTTCACCATCTTTTTTAAGTGAATTACTTTTTGAGCAATAATAATATTGTTAGAACTGAGTCTCCCAAGGACAAAATTGCATTGATTAGGGGGAATGATTCTATAAAGAATTAATTTAATTTTGTTGGCAATAGTCTTCATAAACTAAGAAAGTTGTTGTGCCCGAATAATTTTTTTTAAAAAAATTTGTTGCTAATTAAGGAGGAGTATTTTTTAAAAGATCATTTGTTAAGGGTTGGGAAAATGACTAAATATGGTATTTTTAGAAAAATCATTTAAAATATCATAAAATTTTGAACTAAGTACCATGAGAAAAGACACAGGCTAAATATTCTATATGATAAGGAAATCATTTATGGGGAACATAGATTGAGAAATATTCTAACAAATTTATATTTACAAGTCAAACATGCATATTTATCAGTTGAATTTAACAATTTATGTTTATACGTTGTAGTTTTATATATATACAATTGAGTTTTTGAAATTTTTTTGACTAGAAGTTGTTTTCTCAAATAAAAGCTTTATAAAGATTGATTTTTTTTTTTTTGCACTATCAAAAAATGCCGAGTCAAGTTTGTTAATTGACTATTGTGCTCCTGGGCCCTTGTGTTAAGTGGGCCAGCTTGTTTTTTTTTTTTGGGTCAAATTCTTATTAAGGCCGTTTGCCCAATCATTCTCTTCCTTACCTGCTTGGTGTCTATTGCCAATCGCTCTGGGACATTAGCCCCAGACTTGTCCTGTCTTCCTCTCCTCTTCACTCCTCTCGGTCTGGCTTCTTCTTTGTCACCACGCCATCAGCTCACCTAGTAAATCTTTTAATATTTATAGTTGTCTCCAGTCCCTACATCGTTCTGGGCTCACCTGGGAAAGGAAAAAAGAAGAAGGAAAGAAACACATTAGGAAAAGAAATCCAAATAGGAAGTACGGCGGCGCAAATTCCCAGTAGCTTTGGCCATGAGTTGATGGCTTGTCTTCGTTGCCACCTTGTCAAAACCTATGACCAGGTCACTATCAATTCATCCTCTTGAGTATATGCAATATCATTGTTGTTTTTTTCTTTGGGAAAATTTCAGTGAAGGATTGCAGAAGGCAATTTATATCAGTCAAGGACCAAAACTTTCTGAAATTTCACTACAGGACCAAGGGACCAAATTGAAATTAAAATTTAGAGTGAGATTACAATACTACCCCTCTCTTTTTATTTTATTAAAAAATAAATATTTACCGGAGTTACTGTTCCGGCCACTGGAGCTCAGGTGGCTGCCGTCGGGGTCTGACCACCGGTGGCCGGAACAGTAGCTCCGGCCAGACCTCCGGTGGCCAGAGTTTTTCTTTGTTTAAAACAAAGTGGCCAAGGGAGGGTTTGAACCCATGATCCCTTGGCACACCAAAAGACTTATAACCACTAAGGCAAGCAACACATTTAATCATAAGATGCAAATAAAACTATATATAACAAACCAAACGCAACTGTCCAAATATAAATAAACAAGTGAAATTAGATGATTTACAAGTGGAATTCAGAAATTTGCAACAAAAATTAGGCAATTTACAAATAACATAATAGAAGTCATAACTCCAAATGCAAGTGTTTAAGTGTAAATGAGTAAGTAAAATTTAAAGATTTACAACAAAAGTTTATGGATTTACAACCCAAATTTGGCAAACACGAGAATTCACAACCCAAAATGTAAGTGTTTGAGTGTAAGTGAACAAGTGAAATTAGATGATTTACAAGTGGAATTCAGCAATTTACAACAAAAATTAGGCAATTTACAAATAACATAATAGAAGTCATAACTCCAAAGTGTTTAAGTGCAAATGAGCAAGTGAAATTTGAAGATTTACAACAAAAGTTTATGGATTTACAATCCAAATTTGACAAACACAAGAGAATTCACAACCCAAAATGTAAGTGTTTGAGTGTAAGTGAACAAGTGAAATTAGACGATTTACAAGTGGAATTCAGCAATTTACAACAAAAATTAGGCAATTTACAAATAATATAATAGAAGTCATAACTCCAAATGCAAGTGTTTAAGTGCAAATGAGCAAGTGAAATTTGAAGATTTACAACAAAAGTTTATGGATTTACAATCCAAATTTGACAAACACAAGAGAATTCACAACCCAAAATGTAAGTGTTTGAGTGTAAGTGAACAAGTAAAATTAGACGATTTACAAGTGGAATTCAGCAATTTACAACAAAAATTAGGCAATTTACAAATAACATAATAGAAATCATAACCCAAAATGTAAGTGTTTAAGTGCAAATGAGCAAGTGAAATTATCGAATTTCACTTGCAAATCTATAAAATTTTGTTGTAAATTTTCAAATTTCATTTGCTCATTTACACTTAAACACTTGTATTTGGGATTGTGAGTTCCATTATGTTATTTGTAAATTTCCTAATATTTGTTGTAAATTGCTGAATTCCACTTGTAAATCATCCAATTTCACTTGTTCACTTACACTCAAACACTTATATTTTTGGTTGTGAATTCTCTTGTGTTTGTCAAATTTGGGTTGTAAATCCATAAACTTTTGTTGTAAATCTTCAAATTTCACTTGCTCATTTGTACTTAAACACTTGTATTTGGGATTATGACTTCTATTGTGTTATTTGTAAATTACCTAATTTTTGTTGTAAATTGTTGAGTTTTACTTGTAAATCATCCAATTTCACTTGTTCACTTATACTCAAACACTTACATTTTGGGTTGTGAATTCTCTTGTGTTTACCAAATTTGGGTTGTAAATCCATAAAATTTTGTTGTAAATCTTCAAATTTTACTTGCTCATTTGCACTTAAATACTTGCATTTTGGGTTATGACTTCTATTATGTTATTTGTAAATTGCCTAATTTTTGTTGCAAATTGCTGAATTCCACTTGTAAATCGTCTAATTTCACTTGTTCACTTATATTTGGATAGTTACGTTTGTTTTGTTATATATAGTTTTATTTGCATCTTATAATTGAATGGGTTGCTTGGCTTGGTGGTTACAAATCTTTTGGTGTGCCAGGGGGTCATGGGTTCAAACCCTCCCTTGGCTACTTTGTTTTAAACAAAAAAAACTCCGGCCACCGGAGCTTCAGTCAGAGCTACTGTTCCGGCCATCGGTGACCGGATCCCGGGAGGCGGCCACCTGAGCGTCGGTGGCCGGACCTCCGATCTCCAGTGGCCGGAACAGTAACTCCGGTAAATATTTATTTTTTAATAAAATAAAAAGGGAGGGGTATTATTGTAATCTCATTCTAAATTTTAATTTCAATTTAGTCCCTTGGTCCTGCAGTGAAATTTGAGAAAGTTTTGGTGCTTGACTGTTATAAATTGTCTTCTGTAGTCCTTCGCTGAAATTTTCCCCTTTTCTTTCTCCCTCTCTCTTTCTTTCTTCTCGTAGAATGTTTTAGGCTTTTTAATGTTAGTTTTCCGTTGGACTCTTGTTTTTTCCTACTTGAAACAATATGCGGTTTAGGCTGTAATTAACTTTGTATCTGCTTCTTCGCTCAACAGTTCAGCGAATCAGGCTGCGAGAATTGCCCATTCTTTAAGATGGAGGAAGACCACGAGCGTGTTGTTGACTGCACAACTCCTAATTTTAATGGGTATGGATGTTCGACTAAAACCTCTGTGACATTGCATTTGTTGTGCATTCGTTTAGACAAAGTTTCTTATCGTTTGCAATTTTTCATGTCCTTTCTTCGTACTTTTCACAGGATAATTTCAGTTATGGATCCATCTCGAAGTTGGGCTGCACGTTGGTTGCGAATTGGTATGTTTGTCTTCTGTTAGGCTCCGTAATATATCCTATATGATTTTCTGCAAATAAAACTCTATCTTTCCTTGCACATATGCGGAGATAATCCTAGGAGTCCAAGAGTAATGGCATCTTTCTTTGCTTCTAAGAGTGCTCACTTTCATTGACAAAGCTTTGTAACGGCAGAATGAACTTGTTTCTGTGAATTGCTTCCAAAGTACCAACTATTACTTACATACAAGGAAGCCTTTTAATTAATTGAATCCAATCAGAAACTATTATTTATATAGAAGAATGTGGATTTTATCAATAGATTTATTTAGCCTTGCTCAGTCTTTCTATGTGGATTTTATTAATAGATTTATTTAGCCTTGCTCAGTCTTTGTATCAGAGAAAGGGTAGTGGTGGTTTACTTTATTGTCCAAGAAGGCCTTGGCTGCTTTATTTTCATTTGAGATGGCAGTAAAGCTAGAGGTGCTAAAAGGTCTTGCTACGACACTGTAATAAGGGAGCGTAAGCGTTCCTCATTTCTTGATGGTTTTACTGGCTTGCACTTGCCACTCAAGGGAAATTCCTTTTTTGTTGGGGGGGGGGGGGGGGATCTTCTTTCTATCAATTTGGGTCTGTAATGAGTCTTATCTTGCTCTTAAAGTCAGGGATAGGGTCTTGACTGAGAAAATTACTACTTGTTTTCTTGGATACATTGAAATTAGAGTGGGTTTTCTCTAGCAAAGATGAATAAAGGGACACTTGCTCAAGAAATTTGTTAAAGTTAATGGCTACAATGAAGATGAATTAGGAAAAAAAAATTGAAGCCTGAGATGTGAAATATATTAAAGTCTTAAATTTTGCTAAGGATTAAAGTCAATCTATCTCTAGTTCCTCTGTCTAGGATTCTCCTTGTAGGCCTTTTCTTGAGGTCTTGTTTGGTGCTTGATTTCTCTGGCTAAGATAGCTTGGCGTGGCTTGGGTTTTGAGACCTTTTGAGGAGAAAGAAATAAGGATGATTTTTTGCTGTATGGATAAAGTCAACGGGTCCTCATGGTTTTACCCTGGGCTTCATAATTTATATAACATTATTGCAAAGGATTTGGTCAGGGTGCTTGATGGGTTCCATTACTACGACATAGTTATAAAGATATGAATTTTATTTTCATCACTACCTTTCTAATAGAACTGGTGGGGTAGTGGGGGAATCTATAGGAAAATTGGGAAATGAACCCAAGAGTGTTACTGGGGGGCTTGTTTATTTTTAGCAGTACCTTTCTTGGGTTGCGCCTTGAGGGAGACAGAGAGAGAAAAGAATGAGTGAATAGAGTTAAGGGAGGATGAGAAGAGGTAGGTAGGCAGAATTTGAATGCAAATTAGTGGGGGGAGGTTTGATCTCCTAAAAATCAGGGAACTTTGTCATTCTAGTTTCTCTTTATTAGGCGTGTGCTTGATTTTTTTTTTTTTTGTCATCAGTGTAGCTCCGACCTTCTAGCAGCAGCCTACTTCCTCTAGCTCTAGGGACCTGAGTTGTGAATAATTCATAGAATGGCTGCTTCTAAAATAAGGAAAGATTGGTAAAGAAATTGGATCTTGAAGATGAGAATTGTATTAAAGGTTTAAATGTTGTTGCTTGCTGAAGAGTTTAGCTGAAGCCCAGCAACAGATCTTCTGAGGGGGAAAGGAAAATAGAAGTCGGAGAGTTGGGGTTGGATGGATAAAGCCATCAGGGCTTTATTGTTTTGCAATGGGCTTCTTTCATGAATCTTAGAACATTATTAAACAGGATTTGGTGAGAAAGCTTTACAAGTTCCATTAGAGTTCAACAGATATGAATTTTACTTTCATCACTAATGTCCTCTTGTTAGCCTGATTATATGCTTTCTTCTAAGTCAGTTCTTGATGATGCATCCTTATTAGCAAATGAAATGGGGAAGAATGTGATAAGGCAAAGAAATTGGGGTTTGTTTCTTAAGTTGACATTTTTCCCTCTGGAGAGAGCTTGCCATTATCTTATTGGGTGGAAGACTTGGTGCCGACCCATTAATGAAAAGGTCTTGGAAACTTTTCCCCCCACTGAGGTTTACATTGGTTGGTGTATGGTGTATCCTTTAGAAGACCTTTATTATGACAACATCTAGTAAGGATGGTTTATGGTTGCTATGCTTACTTGGAGCTAATTGCTACTTATGGGAGTCTATGGCATTTGTTTTCTTCATGTTATGACTCAACCTTTTGTTTCTCAAAGATGGAGGGTTTTCCCTTTTTTTTTTTTTTGGGCTCTAAATATCATGTAAAAAATGTGGGAGAGATGAAGAGAACCTCTTCTGTGGGAATTGTAGCTGGTCATTTTGACCAACATTTAATTGTCTTAATAGATGGATGATACAAGCCAATCAATTTAAACCACACTATTTATTGAGATATAGTAGTCAGCGTACAATCTACTCTATACGTTGTTGGCATTCAACAATATTCACGCTATGCATATTAATTGCAACAAATCTCTTCCTGAATTTAGATCTTGTATTGCACTTAAGGCTTTCAACCTAAGGTTATATTTAAAACGTATTGCAAGAAAATTTCCTCGTGGTGTTTACACTCTTGCTGTTTCAGAGTCTCTTCCCGAAGAAATGCAGGTTTGTAATTTCCAATCAACCTGCTGATGGCATATTTGGTTACTAAATGATCTCCTTTCAGTACCAGGTTTGATAAATCAACACTGGGTCAAATGACCTACTAACATGATTTATTTTTTCTTACCCCTTGGTAAATCATCACGTTTTGATTGTTCAATAAATTCATCTTTTTGTGGCTCCTATTAGATTCCTAAAACAGAGAGACAGACGATCCTTTTTATGAAGTGTGGCTTTTTTTTTCCCCCTTAGAAAGAGTTTTGTTGCTATTAGACACATATTGGACCTTAGATATGGCCACACCACCAATAGCCTTATGGTTTAGTAGCATAGAAGTTTCCTTGCAAATGTGAGGTTTTAAATTCCATCACATTTGTAATCTCAAGCTATTAATGCTTGTCCCTCTATTTTTTTTTGGGGGGGGGGGGGTTGGGAACACATGGCACACACCGCACAAGAATTGACTTAAGATGACAAGAGTTGAAAGGTATTAAAGGATTTGGAAATTCAGTTTCTATTCTTTTTTCCCTTTCTTTCACTTAAATCTTAGATAGAAGCAATGTTGTGCACCAATGCATGTATATATGATCATTATATACTCTTTTGCAGGCTATTTGTGAAGATGAGCGTGTGCAGTATATTCCTCCCTAATGCTTGTGAAGCACTTTTATCGTTGCCTTGACATCAACTGAACAGAAACTGAATTGCCTTCATCTGTAGTAAAATGTAGGTTTTCATGTTCATAGTCAGTTTGCTGTATTGTGTACTTTTGACAAAAGTGGTTTTGTGCTCTGAGCTACTTAGTTTCTCTCAAGAATGAACTAAAACGATTACTGAAAACCTGACATGCTAGCATGCGCAATGGTGCATAAGTTCAAGTCATGTAATGAAGCTGCGCATTGTTTACATAAAATATTAAATTAAATCGATTAATAAGTTGTAATATTTATATAAATTACAGTTTTTTTTGCTAAATTATATATAGCCCCTATGAGCTTTATGTCGAATAATCTTCCTAATTTTTGAAATTTTTAATAAAACTTCAAAACTTTTATATTTATGTAGATAATTTCTTCACAGTTAGTTTTATTCATTATTTATTTGCATATGGTTTAATGTTTGAGGGCTTATCTCTATTAAATTAAAATGTTTTATCTCATGAAAATAGAACGAAAAGAGTAAGGTCATATGATAGTTCATTAGAGAAAGATATGTCATACTTACAATGCTCCTATCTTATATGGTAGTTGCTAAGAGAAATTCTTTGGAGGCAAAGCATATTTATTGAGGCATTCTTAGGAAGTCAAGTAGAGAGAGTGAATTTTTCTTAATTACTGTCAAAATAACTAAAATTACCCATAGGGCTTGTTTGATTACTTGGAAGGAGATCAATGTAAAGTACTACTTTTATTCTTTAATATAAAAGCTGGTTGATTAATTTGAGTAGATTAAAGAAATTTGTCAAGTTACTTATTTGTAAAAAATATGTGTTGTCTTTTCTAAAATACTCTTACTAATTTATATAACTGCTACAAGAGGTATCTTGAGAAAAAAATGAATAAATATAAGAGATAAAATGGATTAGAATCTTATATTTAAAATCAAATTAAAAGTCAAACTAGCTTTTATATTAAGTATCGGAGGTAGTAACAATTATTACCTAAGTTTGTTTGCTACGTAGTGACAAATTAATGATACTTTGGGATTATATGAGAAAAGTAATGACTCACTGGGGATCAAAATCTTAAAATGTTCATTAGCTCGCTTGGTCTTTGGGATTAAAAGATACCACGAGTGTTTCAATTAAAAAAAAAAAGGGGGGGATGCAAGGGTGTTTGGCTAATCATCTAAAAGTAAAGCCAGGAAAACGGGTCGAGTTTGTTAGGCCAGCCCGTTTAGGCTTGAAATTATGAGGATAGGGCTTGAAATTTTTCTCCTCAAATGGAAAACAGGCCTTGGAGGGCCAAGGGCTTAAAAGGGCCGGTTCGTTTAGGCCCTTTTATAATTTTTTTGTTTTTTAAAATTTTTTTATGTAATTCTAATATTATTAATTTTTTACATTGTTAATAATATTTCAAATATTTAGTTATTATTATCATGTTAAAATTAAATTTTACAGAATGATTTAATTTATTTAGTTTTAGACAATAATTTATCCAATTAAATTTTTAAAAAATAAGTTAATTTTGCATTGATATTTTTAAACTATATATATTTGATAATAGAGTATTTTTATACTTATATAACTTATGATTCTATAATTTGAATTAGAAATTCATGAGTTTCAACAATAATGTTTCTCACATTAAAGTAAAATAATAGCTAGATTGCAAAATTTAAAAGTAAAATTCCTATAAAGAAGAAAAACTTGATATTTTTGTTACGAAAGAAAAACATACTTATGAAGAAGAGTAATTGATTATAGTGATGATAAAGTTTCAAAAGATTAATGATAGTATTTATTTATTACACAATTGCACTATAATGAAGCTTTTGGATGTTATTATCTTGTTAATGAATGTTTTAAATGTTCTTGGATGTTGATGGATATTTATATATGATGATATTTTGTATTGGTGACTTAATTTTATTCATATTTATGTCTTTTATTAACAATTTTATTGGTTTATTTTTATTTTTTGATAAAAAAATCAGAAATATAAAAATAGTATTTTTTTCTTAAATGGGCTAAAAGCCTGCGGGCCGGCCCTGAGCCTGTTAGCTTAAGGGTTGAACCTAGCAAATTGTGGTATTTTTGAAATTTCGGTCCTAGAGGGCCGGCCCTTTTAAGCTCTCAAGCCCTAAAGGACCGGCCCTGATACCCACCTCTATCTAAAAGTGCTTTTGGAGCCCAAACTCTAAACACTCCAGTATTTTGAAAAAAAAAATCGCTTTTGAGGGTTAAATTTTGGTCATTGGGGAAGGTGGGCAACAGTATCTAGATTAAAAGTAGTCTTTAGATTGAAATCAATCCTTGCCTTTTTTTCTCCTTTCTCCTTGCTTGTTTAATAGAAGTCGTTCCTGGTGGTGCGTTTTGTGTCGTCGGCTTGTGAAAAGAGGCACTAGTGAGGTGTTTGTCAGCATGAAAGAACAATATCATACATTGGGCTGTCCGATTGATCCATCGTTGGTCTGCAATCTTCATTCTTCACTTTGTCCGATCATTCCTAAGGGGGGTGAAGGTGCTTCGTTCCATCACTTAGATCCAGCACTCAGGTAACCTCTCTTCTCTTGAACAATCATTTCTTCACTCGTGGATTGCATCGATTGGATTCTATGTAAATATATAGTCTGCTCTGTACAATGGGTAGTCTGTTTTAAATATATTATTAGTCTCATGTGTGAGTTCAAATAGAGGATTAAAAATTTTGATTTTGACCGTGATGGGTACTTCACAAACAAAACCTTTGATATTGTTTACAAAAATTTCTTTTGTAATGTTATATTGAATTAGATATATGAATGGTGATATCATATGTAAATTTCTATATTATATAAAGGACCATTCATTCTCAAATGCACGGGTACCATACTATCATGTGTGTGTATTGCTCATCGTATGTTGCAAGTATATATTCTCGAGTTCCTAGTAAAGGATCTCTCGTTAATTAATTTCAGTGTCATTAACAAGGAAAAACATTTATGAATTCCAAGTGTTAGGGCTATTGATGTGCAAGAATTTTATTTCTATAAAGTCCCATACATTCTGCTGTGTACCTTGAGATTATTTTGATTTGGAAAACATTGACCACATTGTCTGAACAATATGTTCCGAATAGCTTTCCTCTATTCTGAACTCCTTATTAAAACGTTTCATTTGAGGGCCATGGTTCCCTAAATTATGAGCAGTAACTTAGTCAAAAGAAGAGCTCAGATAATAATTTGGACGAGTTCTTGTTCTTAACTAATTAATTGTAAAAGGCTAAGATAGTGAATTCTAAATGTCTACTATGACATATATATATATATATAATGGAAAATCTATGAAAACTCGCACTACAACTGAAGTACATCTTGCTTTAACTTTGGTTAAAAGTACATCTTATATTAATTCTTCCATATTTGTGCCCCTCCTGGTCTTTAAATGTTCATTGATTTCTTTAATCATATTTATACCCTTTTTGTGATGTATAAGTGTAAACTATACATTTTGGGCAAATTAAAATGATTTTGACGGTGGTAGAGTGATGTCAAGGGAAAGGCATGATATGTTTGAAACTATTAATAAAAGATTTATGGAGTGTTTTTGGAGCCTATTCATTTTAGTTACATATGCTTGAAATGTGAATGTTTTTGGAGCTGCTCATTTGGTATTGTACATTCAACTTTGTTTAGATGTGAATTGTGATACTGTAAGGGCATTTCAAGTGTAAAAGGTTCTGATCATTTGTCAATATAGAATATTTGTGATATAAGATCAGTGTGACGGATGCCTGTGATGATCTTTGTGTGTATGTAAATGAATTGACTTGGAGTATTTAACTGTAGGCCTTTAATTCAGTATATAACCTCTTTGTATACTAAACTATGGCATGCAAGAATTGTGAAAATGAATATGCTTTTTGATAAATGATATAAATTGAAAATCTAGGTACTGGTAAGGCTGTAAATTACTGTCATTGAGTGCTACTCATCAACCATATATTAATTTTGATAAACAAGTCTATTTGGCTAGGTAGTTAGTATTCAGGATTTTAAAATGCATCATGATCTGTTAGCTTATTTGGATAACTCTGATACTTGTCTACTACAATCAAAAAGCTTTCTTTGGCTGCTATGAGGGGTTATTATATCAGTTCTTCTATTATAACATATGATATTTGTTGTTTTAGTTGGTTTTGGGTTGATTAACTTGTGATGACTGAAGAGCTATAATTGTTCTATAGCATAATGAGTAAGGATAAGGTCACAGCTTTTGGGATATAAAAAAAACACAATGGTTTTTATTGACTTGTGCATTGAACAAGTTGAAAAAAGAGAAAGAAAAGGCACTAGCTTAACAAAAAGCATGGGCAATTGTTTTTGACAATTTCACTACGGAAATTGGGAGAGTGTATGGGAAACCTCAGTTTAAGAACAAATATGATTCCCTACAAAAGGAGTGACAGACATGAGATAGGTTGCTTCGTGAGACAGGCTTAGGATGGGATAATGAGAAGAATACTATTAGTGTAACTGATGATTGGTTGGAGAAAAAAATTAGTGGTAATAAATTAACTTATTTGAGCTTACATTTTCTTTCATATTAATGCTTTTTGTATATTATGTAATAACATTGGTGCTGAATGTGTAAGAAGTTCCAAACTATGAAAAATTTAGAGAAAGAGGACTCTAATTTTGAGATGAATTAACTCAACTATTTAGGTCTCTGGCTGCAACTGGACCACAATCATGGGCACCTTCAAGCATGACACTTCAAGCTGAAGCAAATCCTACTGATGATATGGAAGAAGGGTATGGAGATACTGATGAAGTTTTAGCAGCATCAATTGGAATAAGTGGAGGGTTTAATTCAGTGACATTCAATGAAAATAGTGGATATAGTGGGGGTAATATTGATATGAGGCAGAAAACCAATCGTGGGGTTAGGACCACAAGTGGGGGTCGACCCACTAGCTCATTGGGGGTTAGGAAAAAAGGTGAAACCATGAAGAAGAAACCATCTTTAGCTATGAAAATAGAAGATGCAATTAATAGTATAGTTGAAGCAAATAACATTGATTCTCAGCGTGCAAATGATGTGATTTCACGAGCACAAGTTAGAAGGCTAGAAGAAGAAGCACGTGCTTATGAGACGTCAATTATGGGAGTCATGACTCACCTTAAAACAATTGATGAAGTTTTCAATGATCTTGATTTGTTTGCACGGTGCACACAACTCCTCATGTACCGACCGGAGGCACAAGAAATGTATGCAGCTCTGGAGGATATGAGGGAACAACTTGTGACCTTTTTGAAACATTCCACTAAGAATTTATGACTTGTTTATCATATTAATTACTTGTTAGGAGCTGACTACCATAATTTGCATAGGTAGTTATGTATCATATTATGTGACTATTGAATTGCTGTATGAATTAGACAACTCGTTACTTTCTTAAATATTTTGTCATTTCTACTTGAGGATTATAACCTGTTAGAAACAATCTCACCCAAGAGGGGGGTGAATTGGGTGAGTTACAAAAACTTGAAACTAAAAGCGTGCAAGTATTAAATAAAACAGAGAGTCAGAGTAAGGAGAATTTTAACCGCAGAGAGGAGACACAAGATTTATACTGGTTCGGTCTAATCCACGTGACCTACTTCCAGTCCCCAGAACACCTCTGAGTATTTCACTATCTTCCAAGATCGACAGGGCTCTTGGTGCCTCGGTACAGTAATTGAATCGCTCAATCACTCCCCCTTACTCCCGTAAGGATACAACCCCTCTCAAGAGTCCACACTCTTGAGTGTCTCTCAAGTTTTTAATAAGAGTAGTGAATGGCTCTCTTACAGAGTGAATTCAATGATAAACACTGATGCTCAGTAGTAAAGTGAAAAACAGAGTATTGAATGCGTAACTAAATAATCGCAGGTGGTAGTTCGGTATTCAATCTCTTCATTAATGCCTCTTCGCGCCTTTTATAGTTGATATCGTTAAATAGCCGTTAGACGGAAGGGCTTCTAGCCGTTGTGACTTCGTTTGCGTGTTTCACTGGTTTTAACGGCTCCGCCATTAATGCGTCTGAGTTTCTGACACTGTAGGTCGCAGTCTACGTAATCCCGTTGAAGAGCCGTTGCACTCGTTTTCATTAATCTGCATATTTCAAACTTAGAACAAATGAGAGTTTTGTGGTGAGTGCTTAAATCTTGAATACAGAAAGAAAGCTAATCTATCATTCAAGGATTTGTGCCGAAATCATTTATCAGTAAGAAGAACAAAATGTCATTCTGGTTTAGTTTGATCGAAAAAGTGATCGATTACTTGATGATAGATCAAGTTATCGATAACCAGAATGAAGACTTTTCGAAGTAGATCACTAAAATTATCGATCAAGTGTTGGATCATTGACTTTAAGAATTATCATAGAAAGAGGAAATCATTGCATGATCGAAAAAGTGATCGATCACATAATTGATCGAACAGATTATCGATAATTTAAATGTTATTGAAATGAAGCTTCAGTCATTGATGATCGAACATCTTATCGATAAAATATAATGCATAATGTTATCGATAAACCATGGGTATGTATATATTCAATGAAGAACACAGGCTATCTGAAAAGATCGAACATTTAATCGAACAATGAATATTCGAACAAATGATCGAATAAATTATGAAGAGAAGATTAATCCTGTAAGGCAAGGAAACTGGTTATCGATCACCTTTTGTGAAAACATGATTTTCATGGAATTGGATGATCGATCATATTATCGAAAAACCAGTGATCGATAACTTGATCGAACATTCGTTCACCATAACTTAATGCGAATATGTCAATTCTTAGACTCTTTATCGATCACGTTATGTGAAAACTTTTGTTAAGCAAATAAGTTAAAGTTATCGATAATGTTATCGATAATTTAGCTGTAGCAAAACTGAGTAAGAGTAGATAAGGACATTGATTATCGATCATGTGATCGATAATTTTGTGATCAATAAAGTTATCGATCTATCAGTGAATTTGATCACCTGCATTCAGAGAGTTAGAGCATAAAGTTCGAGCACGTAATCGATAAACAAATGATCGAAAATATGATCGATAAACTTGTAACAGAACTAATGTGCAGAACAAGTAGAGAGTGTTACCTTTTATCGAAGTCGTTATTGATGACTGATTTATCGATAACTTGATCGATAAATACACTTCAGATTTGGGTCTCTTATCAGTAACTCGATTGTTTACCTGATATTATCGATCAGCTTATCGATAATTTCCCAAAGTCTTATGTGATATTTACGCTAGCGATTATCGATCATTTTATCGATAAATTATTCATCGAATAGTTCTTCGATCAAAAAGACTACTATAGACCCGATTTATACTTGATCATTTATCTGAAACCTTAGCGATAACTGATTGCTCGATCAGTTATCGATCAAAATACTTAACCCTGAAATTCTGACTTGTTATCATCAAAACTATAATCCTAACATTCTCCCCCTTTTTGATGATGACAAAACACAGGTTATGAATCATTTATCAGAGAGAACATCAACCAGTTTCATATTCTCAAAAAGCATGAAAAAGGGCAGATAAATATTAAGAACACATTATCGATAAAAACACTATCCAGATACATAAAGGAGATAACAAAAGAGATAATATAAAGTCATATAAAGTCAGATAACAAAAAGCAACTCATAAAGCCATATAATCTACGAAGTATCATCAGTTTTCTTCTCCCCCTTTTTGTCAGCATCAGAAGGGGTAGGAACCGAGGGAATGGTTAGGGAAATAGGGAGAGGAGGAAGAGGAAAAAGTGGAGAAATAGATGGAAAATGGAGGGAGTGAACAGGTTGGGGTACAGTGATAAGAGCAAGAGTCGTAGGGACAGAAGTAGAAGTAGATGGAACAGAAGGAGAAGTGGTGGAAATAGGAGAAGTGGGTAAAGGAGAGGAAGGAGGTGCAGGCTCAGGGTGTGGTGGAGAGGGAGGATGGAAGAGGAGATCCTCATAGCTGAAGCTTGTGCTAGGTGGAGTGAAGTGCTGGCAGAGAGAGGTAACTAAGCCTTTAAGCTCTTGGAGTTCCTTGTCCACTGAATTAAACCTCTCGGTGACTTCTCTTTCCAAAACCACCATAGCTTGTTGGTGAAGATCCAGAATCTTAGAGATGCCATCAAACTTCCGGTCAGAAACTTCCCCATAGTCTCTGGCAGTGGAGTAGACTCTGGTCTCAAATGCCCGAAGCTCAGCCTGAAACATTTCCCTGAGGGATCTCTCCATAAAAGATGGACCAGGGGTATGAGATGGGGCAGCAGTGGATTCAGCTTCATCCTGGGTCCGAGATGTACTAGCAGCAGGTTGCTTTCCCTTATCCTTCTGAGATACTTTCTGTGATGGTGTAAAGGGAACAGAAATCCTCATTTTGTGGAGTTGAGTGAGGCCAAAACCAGGAACCTTAGTCTTGATTTCCCCAGGCTCAAAAGGAGCAATGTTATGTGCCTGAAGGAAATAGGTGGCCAGCTGAGGATAGGGAATTGGGGTTGATCTGGACTTGTTAAGAACAAAGTCCTTCATCTCAGAGTAAATAAGATCCCCAATGTTAATCTTTTCCCCACTAATAATCCGGGCTAGTAGAAGATAATCATCCTGAGTGAGATGTGAGAAGCTACCGGATTTGTTTACCATACACCTAGAATAGATGTAATGGATGATCCTATAGAAGTCACACATCTGCTTAGGTGGGAAATTCAGCTCACCGGGATAATCACTGTTCTGCATTAAGATTCTATAGGCCTTTACTTCATTCATGTCACCACCTCGCACAAAATCTTGAGTCCCTAGCAGCTCATTTATTTTGGCACTGGTTATTTTAAAAGCTCTGCCTCTCAGTGTAACTTTCAGACAATTTTCTATGAGATTGTCTTTATCATCATATTTTTCTACTGATTCCATATTACAGTAGAATCTTTTAACCACTTCGGGACAGTATTCACCACCAATAATTAACCAATTCGAATAATGCTGCAGTGGGTCACTTAAATCAAGCTCAATCTGTTTATTTTTCCTCAGACCCTCTAAATCAACAGATACCACAGGACAGAATTTTCTATTGGCAAAATCGGCCTTATACTTGCTATATTAACTTCATTATCGAGATTGCCAGATAATAACTCAGAAAATTCAGTGGGTATACCTACAGAAGGGATTTCCCGAGCGACTCCTTCACTTGCCCTCTGTTTCTTCTTTCTCGGTTGCTTGGGGACAGAGATATTCAAGGCTGATTCCACGGCTTTCTGAACTGAGACCCCATCATCCGACTCGGTCTCCGATTCCTCAGTCACAATCGGTAGCTTTGATTTGGACCGGGGAGACTTTCTGAGAGAGGCCGGTTGTTCTTCGGTCCGACTTTCCCGGATTTTCAGAGTAGCTCTCTTCTTCGTTGATTCCTCCCTCACCTTCGGTCTGTAGCGCTTTCGAGTACCCGAAGCAGTGGTGTCACTCGATTGAGGCTGTTTCTCCGGTGCTTCTCCCTTTTCCACGTTCGGTTGCTTCACCCGAGCCATTTCGGAGGTGCTGAGCGAGTTTTTGACAGATTAATCGGTGAGTTTGAGGTGGGTGAAGGTTGGGAATGCAGCAGAGAAGGATTCGATCGGTGTAACGGTGGAAGAATTTAAGATAGTGGTGAAAATCGACCGTTGCGAAGAGCAGGGGACGGGAAATGTTCGAGTTAGGGTTCGAAAAACTGACGGATGGATTTCAGAACAGTACCGTTATAGTTCTTGAAATTATCGATTAAGTTATCGATCAACACTTGATCGATCACGTGTTCGATAATTATGAAGAACACACTTGAACAAAGATCAGTTTTATCGATTACGTTATCGATCATGCATTTATCGAACATATTATCGATAAAATAAGTAAAAAGAAATGCGTACCTGATGTAATTTATCGAATATTTGTTCGATAATTAAGCTTATCGGTCAGCTTATCGATCAATGCTTACCAAATTTGACGGATGAGTCTCGGAACCTTGAGGCTCTTGATCGATGTTCTGATCGATATTTATTTTATCGATCACGTTATCGATAATTGTAGTGTTGGAGCAATTCCCTTTCTTTACAAAGTGAATTTATCGATCAGTTGTTCGATAAATTATCTCCCACTTGCCTTCATGATTATCGATCAATTGATCGATAATCTCATACTCTGTTTACCTCTGTTTTTCTTCATCGAAACAGAGCTTCCTGCAAAACAAATTTCTACATACTCCGATGCTTAAGTTAGTTATTTTATCATCAAAACAATAAATTTAAACATTTAATCTTGAG